ATTAAGAACCTTAGCCACTCCACAAATCACCAGAAAAAGCTGGTGGATATCTGCCACTATTAATAGTGGAGAAGAACATGACAATTAAAAAATCTGTTAGTGGTTCAAATAACCACTGACCTTAGTGACCTTGATATTAACCATCCGAATGTTAAAATAACCACGCTCTTATAATGTATTGGACCGATGAAGAGAGTTGTTAGACACTGAATCTGTCTTGCAATCAGAACAGCCATCGGGCCCCTTCAAGGCCCGGGTACTGGCGCCCGGCACCACTCGCACCCCCTATTATTGCTACGTCCCTGTCAGCCCTTTCGGGCTTTAGATTCAGCATTATGATGAATGATAATCTGACATGTCAAGCAAACTATGTTTTCTATAAATCCAGCAAAATCAAATGACATTTTGTTGAGCAGAAACAAAGACATCAGGAGTAGGTGCATTTTCATGCCAACGTTCGAGTTAAAATAGAAAAGCATCTTTTTGCATTCATCGGTGTTCAATGTCAGTTCCTTTTCTTCTATGATCTTGTCTTGAAGGAGTAATTATTATCATTATTATTATTTTCCATAAACCTTCCCACACTGATATCACTATTCATAATAATTCAACACACCCTTATCAACATAAAATTGCAGCATATAATATAGTATGATACACAGGCTAGTTAATGTCCCTCTTTCGGAAGTAAATTTCAATAAAGAACTCAATATCATAAAACAGATTGCAGTCAACAACGGATACAACGTTAGTTTGATAGACAGTATTAAGAAACTTCATCATAAAGCTATTCAAGATGTTTATCCTACCATCAAGAATAATAATCAAAATCATAGAACTCTAACCTATTTCGGATCATCAACTGAGAAATTAGCTCCATTTCTACATAATCAGGACTTAAAAATGGCATATAGAACAAATAACACTTTGGGACGGTTTATCAAGAATAAAAAAGACAACATTTTTTAATTCCAAAAATCAGGGGTTTACAAACTCAACTGTGGATCTTGTCCTAAGGTATATATCGGTCAGACGCCAACAATATATTAGAAGAAAACAATAGTTTTGATGATAATTTCGGAATTCTACACGTAGAAAATAGAGGACAGAAACGGAATCATTTTGAATCATTAAAAATCAAGAAACTCAAAGATATTGACATTTCACTTGACCTCAATAGTTCACCACTGTTGAATTTGTTTTCTTAGTAAGTAATAATATGTATTTGCTATCAACTCTTTCAAGCTAATCCGGTATACCGTTTTTAATGTAGATATTGTGCCTAATTTCCGAAAATGTAGGTTTATCGTACCTGTTTACAGGTAACTAATCCTTCAGGTTGGGAAAATAGGATATATAAAAGTTAAGCAAGCCAACGTTAGTTTAGTTCATTGTACCAGTATATCACCTTTTTTCTTTTTCTTTTCTCTATCTACAATGTCCTCTCTTGTACTCGTGATTCTCTGTAAGAAAAATTCGAAAATTTTATATTTATATCTCTTTCAAAGTTTGCTTTTAGCGATTAGCTGTTTATTTTCACTTTCTGAATATTTTTACTATTAATGTATATGTACCCATATTTCTGTGATTTTTTCTCACAATGTTGATTATATTTGAAACTATTGTATATCTGTATTTCTGTGGAAATAAACATTATTATCATTATTATTATTATTATTATTATTATCACCTGACGAAGCTACTGTGTTAGCGAAACATGTCGTGTGTTTCAGAATTTTGTGGAAATCTTATCGTTTGTGAAGTTTTTACAAATATGAACTGAAGTCCGTCATGTGAAATGTGAACCCTTCACCAACGTCACTGTATACGATTATTATGGTAATATTGTGTTCAAACGAATGTAGTCAATACATATCGCTAAAAGAGCCATTGACCTTTGATTTTTCAAAAAAACAATTGCTCAGTGTGGAAGGAAATTATTCAACAAATATTTTCTTGAATGACACATGTGAGAGATGTGAGGTAACTATATACACTAATAAGTATCGAGAAGAAAAATTTGTAAAACCGCATGAACTTTTAATTTCTGAATATGTTATAGTTTTTCCACACACCGTCTCGAAAACACCTCAGTCCATCTCTGTACTAAAATTGTTTTACAAATTATGTTATCGCACGTATAATCATTGTTGTCTAGAGATGGGAAATGCTTTATAGCGGGGTCGGTCTGCGGCATTTAATGATTATTGATAAAAGTTCCTTCGCTTTAAGTTAGTATAGATTTAACGATAAATATGCCATAGATAAACTGATGAAGTAGTCTACCTGAATATGTCACCTTCATTTTGAATCGAATATTCTGAAAAATACTAATTATTAGATTATTACAAAAAAGAATTTTTTCCAAGGACATGTTGTGATTTGTTGATATATTTTGACTGAACAGGATCGATTTCTTTCTGCTAGCGAACCACCAGATTTTTTTTATTGAATATTTTTCCGATTGCATTGGTATCAATATCAGATTACCTATTTAGAAAATAATTTGTGATGCCCAGTAACACTCCCAATAATAGGTATCGGATTACATACACTTCCGTTCACTCAACACAAATTCAAGTAAGTATGAGCTCTCGTACGAAGTGGTGCAAATAGAGAATTATACCATTTCTTTTCGGAATAAGATGGAGCTAAAAATGAAAAAGTATCGGGAAACATGGAAATGCATTCGTGAATTATTGTTGCAATCTGTCGATTCAATCATATATATAATCACTGTGAACTGATATTCATAAAAAATTACTAGTATTTCAGATATATAAAACGGTGGGCTTATTGTGTTCGCTAGGAGTAATTGTTGGAAACATTTAAATATAATATAGTACGTAAATTACGCAATTACAAAATGTTCTAGAGGAAATCCCATTATAATAATGAGAATAGTTCCCTTCGAACGTTGAAAAGAGATTACAAAATTGAACGACCTTGGTATCTTCAATCAAAACGAGAATACCTATTCAGCTACCTACTTATTATATCTATAGAAACAAACTATCCATATTCACCTCTGATTCCTTTTCTAATTGAAAGAAAATAGAATCAATCCATGGTCACATACAATCATCCCACAGCTGCAATAAGCAGGTTTTTCTAGTCTCCACTGTTCTACATTCAGTTGAGACCCAGCGAGCACAAACATCCCTGGGATGTTTTGGGATGTTTTGAAAATGTTGGCATGAAGATGTTATTTTGAGACGTAATATGCACTGACCAAAGAGGTCTTTGAAGGATATTAAAGTATTGTTTTTGTTCTTCTGTGGCATTTCTTTGTTTGCCTACTGAGAGGTATCCCTGGGATGTTTTGGGATGTTTTAAAAATGTAGGCATGAGGATGTTTTTTGAGGCGTAATATGCACTTCCCAAAGAGGTCTTAGAAGGATATTGAAAGTATTGTTTTTGTTCTTTTGTGCCCTTTCTTTGTTTGCCCCACCACAACGTCTCATGCTTACGTCACAATATATACGATGAATTCTGATTTGTTTTCGATTTTGTTCATCTTGTTCGCAATTGGCATTCGCGTTTGCAGGATGTCACGCTTACATCACGCTGCTAACGAACAGAAAGGAATTTGGTGAAGTTTATTGTGTTAGAAGACTTATTTGGTTTGTAATGATGATCATCAGATGCAAGATGTGTTGTTTGGTGCCTCAGTGTAATCAATATATAAAAGTACGAATTCATCAATACACAGCTTCTCCGTAGTTGCAAAATTATGCATCGTGGAGAACATTTCAAAAATTTGGAAACCTATTTCCAATTATATGTCTGTGTGTAGTAAGCACTACTCAGAAACCGATTGAGAAGGTGATTTTATATCAAGAAAATATTTATTTATGTTCAATCTAATTTTAATGCATTTTTTCATTCAAGGGAAATGGAATCCTAATGCAAAAGTTCATTTTGACAAGAGGCTTCAGAAAAGTACCTCGAAAATGGTTTTTTACGGCGGTTTAATGTGCGCAAGACGCGTTGAAAATGTTCTGTTGTGTCCATGAAGAGGCTTTAAAAAGAACTAGGGAGAAGGTAGTTTTGTGACATATCAAGGACATCTCGATAATTGCCGCCTGCGGCGGACATTGGCTGTTTTATAATAGTTCTATTCATGTGTGAACAGATCATCGCAGTGGAGGTTCAATGTCTCGAAATCTCGTACTTTTAACATCTCTGAGATGTTTTTGTGCTCGCTGGGGATTGAGGTTGAGGATTAGGGGTAGGTCGATCAATCTAATCAACAAGCGAATCCAGTACTTGCCTAAGGATAAAATGAACAAGCTTCGTGAAACAATTCACCAAAACTGGCCCAGAAAGAAGAAGAAAGGCAGAGTGAGACCGTGGCCACTGATTTCAAATAAAGACCGCTAAAGTACACTCGTCTTCAGTAAACATGTCGCGGTTGGACGGTATGTGCGCTCTTATTGCAGGGCTGATTGAGAGATCTGACACCGTCCATGTGCGACATGTTCTCTGAAGACGACTGTACAGTGAATGGATGGAACTGAAATAATCAAGTTTTTCTGAAAAGTTAATTCGAACGTCTCGAGCCGCAACGTGCACCCTCTTCAAAAGGAACTTCAAACCCGCCGAAACCGGGCGATGCCCCAATTGACTTTGGATAGACTATACCAGTTCACGAGCCTCGATAGGACCAATAAGCTTCTGAAGCCTAGGTAAATTTTCAAGCATGCATCTTCAGGTGAACTATCACACTATATGGAGACATTTTCAGTTTAATTCAGAGAAAAATTATAAAGAACGAGACATCATTATCAATTTTTGCTGGATACTGCCCATTATCAAAATATGAAGATGACGTCCCGGGACTATAAAAAAACAAATGCCTAAAATGGGAAATCTTGTGGCGTCCCCATCTCTATTATTATAAAAAATTTAAGATCTACTCATGTGTGTTGCCCCACTGTATAACGTACTAACGAAATACTTCAGATAAAGTTCATAAACATCAGCTTAGGCGGTCATTGTTAATTGTTTTACAGTTGATATATTATATCAAACATATAAGTCGTTGTGTATCAGAGCGCCCAAATTAGTACCTATCTATATTTAAAAAATGAATACTCTAATGAGACAGGTTAGTTCCTCTCACAAATTCACTATTGTGTTTAATAAAAAAATTGACCCCAGGTTTCTAGAACTATTACACAAACAAGTTCAAGGAATTTAACAGCAACTACAATGCTCAATCAGCTGCCACACACGGAAGAAAAACATGTAGAAGTTGCGTATAATATGCCGTTAACGTGCTTGTCTGAAGATGAGAAAGCCATGAAAGAAACGGGTAAGCTTTTATATTTCCAGTAAACATTTTTATCTAGAGTTTCTTGTTGAATTTCTGCTATGCTATATTTCATTTTTGAGAAATATTTTTGGATTTTACGATTATATGATATAGGTTTATTAAAATTACCTTGGTGCCTGAATCTGATGACTATATAGTCCAAGAGCCGACTGCAAATTTTGACCGTCTGATAACGAAATGATGTATGTCCTATATGGATAATGTGAAAACATTGTAGCTTATAGAACGGCACCTGTGCCAATCACTATCCTGGGCAAAGTGATGAAAAAATAGCACTCTCTTGTGCGGAAATTTGCACTAGATTTCGCGATTTGATAACGAGATTATTAGAATTATACCATCCGATATATACTAATTGAATGGTAGATCTCAAAAATCTACCTGTGTCACTCCTCAGTCTGAATTATTATTATTCCGGACATATTTCCGTCATGTGAAAACGAGTTGAAACGAGAAGCAAATCGAAGGTGATGATGTCGCCTTTGCAAATATACAAACGTGCCGCGATTCAAACTGATCTAAGTTAGTGGCAGAGTCAATACTGCTTGACCATTCTAGCTTGGCCCCTAAGATGCGCAAACGATAAACAGAGATACTACGCCTTTCTATTGGGAAGTACAATCGTACTGTACTGTTCCAACCCATGTTCACTGAACATGACTGAACTAATTCCTCGACAATAATGAGCTCTTGACTTACTCCGTCAAATGGTCTACTGCGCATCCAATTCAATGGCCATGCTGTACTTCCCAGAATATTTCGCCCCCCTTTTAAGATAATATCCGATGGACCATTGTGAAAATACATGTGGATCAGAATATACTTGTAGTGTGAGCATCACATGAGTTTCACACTGGTCCATCGGATATTATCTTTAGAGGGGAATGCGGAATATTCTCGGAAATATTGAGGCTCTACCACTAACTTAGATCAGTTTGAATCGCGGCACGTTTGGATTTTCGCAAAAGGGACATTTCCCCTTTCATTTGCTCTTTGTTTCAATCCGTTATCAGATGACGGAAGTATGTCCGGAATAATTGGAGCAAATAAATCGCTGTGCCGTGGATTTGGCTCAGACTGCGGGGTGGCACAGGTAGGTTTCTGAGATCTATCATCCAATTGATATCGGATGGCATAATTCGAATCTCGTTATGAAATCTCAAAATCTAGTGCAAATTTTCGCACAGGAAAATGCTCTATATTAATCATTCTGCTCAGGATAGTGATTAGCACAGGTGCCGTTCGATGAACTACAATGTTTTAACATTCCTTTGGGACATATATATCATTTCGATATCAGATGACGGTAGAAATAATCTGCAACCGGCTCTCCTACTAATAGTTTTTATTATTTTTGCTCGATGCTGTGATGGTTCTGTTGAATGTTCAGATGATCTCAACATTGAACTAACCTTGTCAAGCTCAGGAAGGTTGTCGAGTTGCAAACTATATACAGTGTCATTCATAAAGTCGGCATCATATGGGAAAAACTTTTATTAATGTTTTATTTTGGAATTCGAGTTGTATGTTGTGTTTTGCTTCAAAAAAGATGAAAAATAGCCTACTCAATCGGGGTCACGTGACTCAAAAGTGACATTTTTTCAAATTAATCGCTGAAAGTAGGCTTATTTGTTCGAATATCGAAAAAGTTTACTTGAAAAAGTTGTTTCTATTTCAATTTTACACATGCTTCTCGAATTTGATCTTTCTATTGCAAATTTTAGATTTTCATTTTTTTTTAATTTTTCAAAATTTCTGTAATATTTGAAGAATTGTTTTTTTCACGAAACTACTTCATACCAGTAGCTTTTCCATGCTACTCACTTTCAATTACTTATTACCACTGATTATAGACAAAAATATGATTTTCTTCAGAAAATGATAATACCCGCTTCCAACTTCTGTTATGTTTGATGCAAAGTTGATATATCGTCAAGCATTTAGAAACGAAATTCATTCAAACTGACCTTTTCAGTACTGAATAAATAAATTCAAATGAATTTCGTTTATATATGCTTGACTCAAACATAACATCATTTCAATGTTATGTTTGCATCAAACATAACAGAATTTTGAAGCGGAGATTATCATTTTCTGAAGAAAATCATATTTTTGCCATTATTCCAAATTTTTTGGGATTTTCTCTCCTCGTTTCTATAAAATAAAAATATGAATATTATTTCAATATACGTGTAGTAAGGACAAATCAGATGATTTGCCCCAAAATGTCACTGCGTTTAAAGAATTTTCCTATCAGAGAGCCTAAAAGAAAAATTCACCAGCTTGTCAGTGACAATTTGTATTGAAAAAATTTTTGGAGAAGGGAAATAAAGGTATATAGAAAAAATATCAAATTTTCACTTATCTTTGGACGTTTCGGGACCGGTTCTGCTCCCGTTTTCAACATAAGAAGAGATTATTTCAATAGCGAAGTCGTATAATGTCTTGAAGCTTTTCAGTTTTCAATGACAATTGGTGACGTTGGCAATCAAATGAGTTACAGGATGTTTTCATTAATTGATCTTGAATTTACCATTTTCATGTTCAGATTTTAGTTGTGAATACCATGTTCTGTCTATATCAACTGAACAAGAAGCAATGTTATTGTCTCCGTTCAGAAGAATGCAAGCAGATTCCTTGATTTTTCTCTTCTGGTTGTTATCTTCTTTTCCAATAATTTTAATATTATTCCACTCTGCCATATGTTGTCCGTCTTCAGTAAGGATATGTTCAGCTAGTTTCGATTTATCGATGTTTCTTTTCTTTATATTGTACTTATGTTCCTTTGTCCTTACTGAAAGAGGTCTCTTGGTTTCACCTGTATAAAACTTTCCACAAACACAAGGTATACTGTAAATATAATTTTGATGATTGTTCTTCATTTTTCGGCTTTGTTTGAGTTAGAATTGATCTCATTGTATTTTCAGTTTTGAACACAGTTTTCACTTGAAATTTATCACCAACACGTTTTATTTTTTCAGATATGCCGGGAATGTATGGTATTATATTTGTCGTTATTGATGGTTGATGTTGTTGTGGTTGACCCTGTTTGTTTTCAATTCGATGAATCGTCCTATCGACAAAATTCTTTGGATAAGAATTGAGTTGGAGAACATTTTTAATGTGGTGGACTTCGTTATTGAAAATTTGTTGGTCAGATGATATTGATTTGGCTCTATCATGGAGTGATTTGATTATTCCTTTCTTAATACTTTTCTGATGATTTGATTGAAAGTTCAAGTATCTGTTAGTATGGGTCTTTTTACGATAAACACTCGTTACAAAGTTGTTATTTGATTTTTCAATAAGAACATCTAGAAACGGTAATTGATTATTAGATGCAATTTCCAAAGTGAACTTTATTGTAGGTTCGGCATTGTTCACATAATCCAGAAAATTATCTAGCTCCATAACATTGTGAGGCCAAATTATGAAAATATCATCTACGTATCGCCACCATGTTTTAGGTTGTTTTTGGTAATTTTTGATGATGTTGTCTTCAAAATTCTCCATAAATATATTGCTCAAAATTGGAGATAATGGCGATCCCATGGCCATTCCAAAGTTTTGTTGATAAAACTCATCACCCAATTGAAAATATGTTGTTTTTAGACACAATTCCAAAAATTCCATTATTCCTTCGATACTTAAATTAGTTCTTTCAGTGAGACTTTCATCGTCTTCTAATTTATGTTTCACTAAAGAATATCTCCACATATCACAGCAAACCTCCTCATTTTTACGGACTTCCAAAAATACACAAACCAAATGTTCCATTGAGACCAATCGTGAGTTCAATTGGATCTCCATGTCAAAATTTAGCAAGATTTCTCTTGAATATCATCAATCCTATTTCAGGAAAAAGTGAGAGTTACATCAGAAATACTCCTCATTTCTTAGAAAAACTTAATGACATCACTCTTGATACAAATGATACTCTTGTTAGTTTTGATGTAGTAAGTTTATTCACAAATGTTCCAATAGATAAAACTTTACAAATAGTGAAACATAAATTAGAAGACGATGAAAGTCTCACTGAAAGAACTAATTTAAGTATCGAAGGAATAATGGAATTTTTGGAATTGTGTCTAAAAACAACATATTTTCAATTGGGTGATGAGTTTTATCAACAAAACTTTGGAATGGCCATGGGATCGCCATTATCTCCAATTTTGAGCAATATATTTATGGAGAATTTTGAAGACAACATCATCAAAAATTACCAAAAACAACCTAAAACATGGTGGCGATACGTAGATGATATTTTCATAATTTGGCCTCACAATGTTATGGAGCTAGATAATTTTCTGGATTATGTGAACAATGCCGAACCTACAATAAAGTTCACTTTGGAAATTGCATCTAATAATCAATTACCGTTTCTAGATGTTCTTATTGAAAAATCAAATAACAACTTTGTAACGAGTGTTTATCGTAAAAAGACCCCATACTAACAGATACTTGAACTTTCAATCAAATCATCAGAAAAGTATTAAGAAAGGAATAATCAAATCACTCCATGATAGAGCCAAATCAATATCATCTGACCAACAAATTTTCAATAACGAAGTCCACCACATTAAAAATGTTCTCCAACTCAATTCTTATCCAAAGAATTTTGTCGATAGGACGATTCATCGAATTGAAAACAAACAGGGTCAACCACAACAACATCAACCATCAATAACGACAAATATAATACCATACATTCCCGGCATATCTGAAAAAATAAAACGTGTTGGTGATAAATTTCAAGTGAAAACTGTGTTCAAAACTGAAAATACAATGAGATCAATTCTAACTCAAACAAAGCCGAAAAATGAAGAACAATCATCAAAATTATATTTACAGTATACCTTGTGTTTGTGGAAAGTTTTATACAGGTGAAACCAAGAGACCTCTTTCAGTAAGGACAAAGGAACATAAGTACAATATAAAGAAAAGAAACATCGATAAATCGAAACTAGCTGAACATATCC